TTTGTCGTTTTAAAGATTAAGAGAGAGAGAGAGAGAGAGAGAGAGAGAGAGAGAGAGAGAGAGAGAGAGAGAGAGATTTTGTGAGATTTATTTTCTTACATCTAAGAGTCTGTTTGGCTAAGCTTATAAGCTCCTATAAACATCTTATAAGATGTTTAAAAGCTTATAAGTTATTTAAAAGTGTTTGGTAAAATATTAGAAAATATCTGTCTTTTGCCAAAAATAAGTTTTTAGGAAACTTATAAGATGTTTTTAAAAAGTACCTCCACTCCACATTTTTTTGTATTCTTGTAATCAAGATTAATTATTAGTTAAAATATAATTTCATAATAATTGTAAAAAAAAAATGTTCTCTATTTACATTTTATATGTATATAAAACACCCGAATATTCTTATTATCTCAATAATAAATTATATTGCTTTTATCTATAAAAAAAAAATCATTTCTTTTACAACCTTTATTTTATATTAATTTATTAATTTTATATTATTATTTTTATTTGAAAATTTAATTTGTAAATATTATAATAATATTTTAGGAACAAAAATATTTGAGTCAAATAAGTTTAACAGTTATAATGGCGTCATGTATTTTTTTGCCATTATAGCGATAAACATACCTTTTGTTTTCCAAACACCCGAACAACTTATAAAAACTAAAAATAACTTATAATCTACATATCCAAACACCTTAAAAAATAATTTTTTAAATATGATCTAACAACTTGCCCTAATCCTACCTACATATAATAAATAGGACCTCTAGTCATATAAATTCAAGAAATAGGATCTCTAACCAATTTCCCCTTTATGAATAGTAGAGGGAGATCACCAAAAATCGTATATCATAGTTCAAGTTTTCTGATAAAAAAAAAAAGAAACTGAAATGGTGATGTCTTTTTTTAATAGTTTTGAACACTAAAATATATGCAACTCGTAATTAACTCTAATTTATTTCTCCACAAACAGACTTAAAGAGGAAAAAAAAAAACTTCAAATGTTTCTACCAAACAAATAAGAACGAGTTTCACCAAACAAGACACATCAGAAAGAATAAAACTTGATAGTGATAAAAAAAACAGTACAATGTGCACATTAGTCAGTATAAATATAGTCTAAACCATTATTGTTGCACTGGCTCAACACCAGTCACTTGAACAAAGCCAGAAAGATTTAGAAAAAAAAAGGAAAGATCAATGACCAGCAACAACCGGTTCGTCCACCTGTTCGGCCGGAAGAACGAGCAAATTCCCATGAGAATCAAGGTCAATAATAACGGAATCACCTCGTTTAATTTCACCGGCACGCACCTTGTCCTCGATATTATGCTCCAATGTCATCTCAAGAAGCCAGCCAGGCCAGGCAAACACCCTATACATAAACCTCTCAGTTAATTGAAGCTCAATAGCCTTGTTCTCTTTGGCTCGCTTTCTTGATCCATTAGAACCTTTTAACCTCTCAGTTAATTCATCATTAGGATGAATCTCAGTTAATTGAAGCTGAATAGCCTTCTCCTCTTTTGCTTCACTACAACCCTCCAACTGACCACTATTTACCAAATAATAATTACTCATGTCTGCCCCCAATTGCTCTGCCTATAAGTTATACAAATTACAAAACAACCAAAATAGACGTATGATGAATGCATCAACATCTACGGAATACCTACCAACAAATTAATATAGCAAAGATGACCTGACCTGCTTTTTATTTCAAATAATGTTTTTATTTCAAATAATTAGAGGCTGGTATCATTTAAACAAAACACAAGAGGAGTTCCGGTCATGTAAACAATCTTACAAGCACCCAATTCTTTTTTTTTTTCCTTTCTCAAATATATGAAATTAAGGATACCATTTAAAACTCTAACAACAAAGGAAGCGATTAGAAATCATCTTCAATAAAAACAAAATTACTACCGCACAACCAAATCTAAAAGAGAAAGCCACAATCTCGTACAGAAACACGGAGAAAATTTATATATTTGGAGGTGTACGTATATGTGTATGCAATAAGATGTGTAGAGAGAGAGAGAGAGAGAGAGAGAGAGAGAGAGAGAGAGAGAGAGATATGAAAACTCACAGAGAGCGGCGGCCGGTTGTACAATGTGGAGTTGGGGAGGAGAAGTGGCGGACTCGCGGGTTTTTTATTTGCGACTTGTGGTGGAAAATTATTACTTATTTCTATTTAGGCCCTTCCCTTTTTGTGTTCACTGATATTTACCCTCATTAAGTTCACATAATGGTGTTTTTGTGCATAAGTCCCAACCAAGCATCTTCATTATTCTAGGTTTAGGAGGCTATATCTCTTTCACCAATAAGCCCATCCTTTAATATTTATTATTAATAAACGAAGCATACATGTATATGTCAATATTACCCCCAACCATTTAAACTCAATTCTTAATTGTAACCCCAATTTAATCCAATTTTGACCACAAAAAAAAAGGTCAACGCCGGAGACCGGTGAAAAAATCCGGAAGAATTTTTTTTTCGAAAA